TTGTTCTTTCACATTTTGAAATCCTAAAAATATATTAAATTATTATATATGCAGCAAATGGAGGATGGAGCCATGAGTAGAAGTTTACTCGCCATTCACTTGGGAGTGGCCAAAAACGATTCTTCAYATATGGCTCAAGCAGCTCACGACTTCCGGTCTTTAACCAAGTATCTTCTGGGTAGCCTAAGAACATTCATTTTAACCCTAGACGGTCATCCTTCGTCAACCGTTTTCGGTTATGTTTTATGGCGTAGTCAAATTGACGAAGGATGACGTTTATGTAACTTTCAGGTTTTTGTGGTATTATTTTCTTGATCGATGAGGGGTTTATTTCGTTTGCCATGACTACTAAACTACCGTTTAATGATGAGGTAATCGAGAAGTCTCTCTCCTTAGTCGATGACGATGAGTTGGAAAGTGAAACTAGTGAACTAAGTATTGACACGGAAGTGGATCAAGACGAATGCACTCAAAATACAAGCTCGTCAGGTGAAGAAACTAGTGTGGATCAATGCGATTATGCTCATAATTCAAGCTGTTCAGATCAAGAAACCGAGGTGGATGAAGACAACGTTCCCCTTAATATTTTAAAATTAAATTCTAATATTATATCATGCTTTAAAGTAATACTGCGTGGCAAAAACGGCCATAAATGGTCATCGGTAAAAGGTAAAACACATCGATATGGTTTGAACATCATACATCAAAATCGAGGTCCAGCGCGTGAATGCGAAAAAATTTCTGACCCACTAGAATATTTCCAAATGTTTATCACAAAGGATATTATTAGCGAAATCGTGCAGTGGGCAAACCAAGAAATAATTCAACGGCAATCAAACGTGATTGGAGATACAGATATGACACAAAGACGGATCACTTCTGAAACGGAAATAAACGCTCTTTTAGGAGTACTAGTAATGACGGCTGTTARAAAGGATCAGCATTTATCTGCTGATGAATTATTCGATCGGTCATACAGTGGAACCCAGTACATAAGCGTAACCACAAAAGCAAGATTCAAGTTCCTAATGGCTTGCTTACGATTCGACGAAAAGTCTGTACGCATTCAACTTGTAAAGGACAAATTCGCTCCTATAAGGAAAATATGGGAAATGTTTGTCCAAAAGTGCAGGGAAAATTATAATCCTGGTCCATACCTAACAATTGATGAGCAGCTACTGGCATTTAGAGGTAAATGCCGTTTCCGTATGTACATACCAAATRAGCCAGCCAAATATTGCATTAAAATTATAATGATGTGTGATAGTGGAACTAATTACATGGTGAATGCAATGCCGTATTTAGGTAAAGGCTCCAATGCCACGAAACTGCCTCTTGGAGATTACAGATTGCAAAAATCCTATACCGAAATATACAAGAGCTCGAGAGTACCCATTGCAGAATCTAGTAATACATGAACGGCTGTGTCGGTCA